AGGATGAAGAAGCTATCGCCATTTTCGGCTGCTTGACTGCCCACTAAATAAATAAATTAGAAGAAAGATTGAGGTACTAGGAGCTATTATTCTTTTGATTTAAAATGGAAGATGTCGGATGTTTTTTAGCTCAAGTGGATTTAGTATTGACCTTGAAAATTCCTATCTGCCCTATGACCCAAGGGCACTCGTGGCAATATGGCAGAGTGGCTAAAGTGTCGAGATTACACTGCTTCTGATGGTGGTGTTGATAAGACTAAGGCGAGGCCGAAACTGCAGTCCACTCTGGATAAGAACACCTTTTGGGAAAACAAGGCTATGCGAAATTAAACGGAAATGTCAGCCCTACTAATTGTGGTAGAATTCAATTATCGGTATTTCATCCCCTTAAACGAAATAGGGTGAATACATTTCATATATGATGTTCTATTAACTTTAGCGCCTAGAAGTACTCGGTACATATTTAAAGTTTTGTAGACATGGACTTGAAATTATTAGACCTGATTCACAAGCAGGCAGATGCGACTCGTCTAAAAGCAATAGAGCACCTAACTGAATACACTGCTCTTTTATCACACGTGTTTTTACATCTATATGCATATGAACTCTGATAAATGTGTTCCTTGTGTCTGTGATGCACGATACACTTCGGATAACTTAATAATATGCATGCACTTGATTGCCAATTATTTGAGCTTTTTTGCATCTCATATTTGCGGGTCTAATAGTACAAGTGTGCATAAATCTGAAAACGTTGAGCAATTATGTCATATAAAAACAATGTTTGATGTTTTATAATTCATACCCTCTTATGCTCGGGCGACAATAAGCATTCTTGCTTGCTACTATCCGTTATTCCCTTTCCATATACATACATACATACATACATACATACATACATACATACATACATACATACATACATACATACATACTACTTACATACATACATACATACATATAATACATATGTATATATACATATGCAGTGTTCCAGCATTTATTAAAATCACTGCTTTCTTTTGTCATATGAATAATTTTTACATTATTTGTACACTAAAATTAATAACCCTTAACTCATAGGTATGCGGATTGAAATGGTCCCCTGATAACCAATATTTGGCCTCTGGTGGCAACGACAATCGTCTTCTTGTCTGGAGTCTACATCATTCTCTCTCGAATTCTGCTGTCTCTCACTTTTCCACCACATCCGACCAGCCAACCTCAGGAAGCTCAGCATTGGAATCAGGCCATGGAGGCCCTATGCTTTGCTATTTAGATCATATTGCCGCAGTCAAAGCGATTGCATGGTCGCCGCATCAACACGGCCTTCTCGCTAGTGGTGGTGGCACTGCCGACAGATGCATTCGATTCTGGAACACATTGACCGGCCAAGCTCTCCGTGGAGTCGACACCGGCAGCCAGGTTACATTCCTTTTTATTATTCCCTATATATCATCTAAGTACAAGGTACTCTACTGGCTCCCATGCATCAAATTCGATTTTTACCTGCAGATCCCCATCTCTACATCGTTAAGATGCTTCCGTTAATTATGTAGTGCTGCAGAGCATCATCAATATCTAGAGTACTTCAGTTAACATGCAGACTAAATTCTTCTCAAAGTACCATGTGCACTCTGTGTGAATTCAGAAAAATATTATTTAGCCCTCTTCGGCCTTTTATTAGGTTATTGTTGACCACAAAACAGGTGGCTAGCATCATATAGAAAAAGCTTTAGACAAACTATCAATTAATCATGCGTCCGATGGATCAGATTACTGTACCAGGTATTGCTCGACTCGTGAGTTGGGGTATTGTTGGAATTTTGGTCTATAGTATTTATTCTGTAAGTCAGCCTCTTTTGGACAATTGAACGTGATCTCCCTATTTCAATGTTTTCTATATAATTTATATCTTTAATGACTCAAAGCTGTGCTTACATTTTTTTTAACTTTTTAATTCACATGGGTGATTCACTAAGCTGCTGCCCACAACTGACAGACACTCCTTGCTACATGTTCGTGATTTTTTTTCTATTCTTTTACACTCATTCACCATTGTTCAAAATCTGTCATG